ATAGCTTCATATTGTTGAGAAATAGAGGGGAAAGTCACATACATTGTATATCTGAAGATGACATTTTAAACCTTCAGTTAATAGGAGATTCAAATGACATAGTGAGTAAAGAGTGAGGAAAACATGATTTGTGTATAATATTTGTACACCTCTTTTAGCTAAAACTGCAAAATTAAGGATTCCTAATTAATCAGAATGTCATTTTGGTCTTCTTAACAGAGCAATTGGCCTTAAGTTTCAAATTCTCAATCTGTAAAACAGACTGTAGAAGGCCTATAGATTCCCACAAGGACTGTAGAAGGGAGACTAATTAGAGTAATAATTAGAGATGCTAGGCTGAATCAACGCTTCTCCCCCTATCAAGATTCCCTGTATAGGATGAATTTGTGCTGATTGATCCCCCGACTCATCCACATTATATATGTGTGTATGGCTTTCCCTCAACTATTATAGGTGTTGTGCAGGTTCTTGATTTTCTTAATTGTTGTTTCTTGCTGGCACTATGCTGGCACTATGACATCCAGTACAGAGAAATGATTAGAATGTTGGATTTTGGCTGAGGAAGACCACACTCAAATGTCTGCATGAACAAAAAGGTTGTAGAGTAATCATGGGCTCATTCCTGTCTCTTTGTTGGTATAAAAAAAGGGAGGGGGGAATTTATACACTAAGCTTCTTGGACAGAAACAGGATTTTAAACCATGCAATTAGACAAAAGTTAGAGTAAAGTTAAAAGTTCCAAAAGATGGATGCCTGCTATTTGAAGGTCAAATTCATTAGACTAAGCAAGTGAAAATTGGAATAAAGCTGAAACAGCCATTCCAGTCAACCAGTCTCTCTCTCTCTCCCTCTCTCTCCCTCCCTCCCTCCCTCCCTCTCCCTCTCCCTCTCCCTTCCTCCCTTCCCCTCCCCCTCCCCCTATGGGTGTGTGTGTGTGTGAATTGCCCTTTGGCCATGTGCATACTTATTCAGCGGCACCTTGCATCTGTCAGAAGGCTAGATCCGTTACCCTTCTGACAATCACAGCCACTCCGGGATGTTTTCCGGATGCTCACTATTTAAGCAAGAGTTTGCTGGGCGTAAGGGACAATTGTGAGTACAGATTCTCCCAATTGTTTCCTCTCCTTTCAGATGCATCAGAACAAAATGTCCAAGCTTGTAGTCTATGTTCCACTTTGTCCCATGCTATGGATGGAAGGAAGCCAGTGGGAGAGTTCATTATAGTGTACTAAATTAGCCAATAAGCCTGCATGCATTGTGCAGCGGAAGTATTTGGGCAGCTCCTGTTCCTCAGTGACAGCTGCTTGGCATGAAATGTTGTAATTATCAACTCAGAAAGAGAGAGGCGTTTGGAAAGAGAGACTAAGAAGGGCAGCTAGTACAGAAAAATTAGGATGTGATCTGGTTGCCATTAGACTTAACATCATGTTAGGAAATATCCTATCTGTTGAGCTTCCGGTAGATTCCCAGTCACTGCATCCCAGGAGCAAACTATTAGCCTTCCTTTATAATAAATCCAGCACTTCTGTGTTTCTGCTAGATGGTTTTTCCTTGGCCCTTAGCAGAAAAGTCAGTGTCTTGCACTTACAGCCTGCTGTTCCTTCAATTCACAACACCTACTATCTTAGAGCATGTGTAGAAGGTCCGGTGTCAAGGTCCTCCAGTGAAAGGATCTGAAGGAGAAAGATGTTTGCCTAGATATTGTGGTGCAACTAACAGTTAAAGTTTATCAGTCTTCTCCCATCTAGTGTGGTCTAGATGTTTAGGGACTACAACTTTCAGGGAATTAAGTCCCAATACATCTGGAAGGTACTGAATGCTATAGAAAAGAAAGCCAGCTAAATCAGCATATAAGATTGGCTCAGGTCTTCATAGGAAACAATTCGTTCAGCAAAGCTTAGTCTCAATTAAATTGGAAAACCCGAATTTACAACTGGAGGTTTAGTTTGCTCTGTGATTAGGCTTCCTTATTTAATTTAAATGTGGGATGTTGGATTTTGCAACCATTTTTACAAAGATCATGTTATAATTATGGATAAACAAATAAGCTAGCTTTCCTTATCTTATTATTGCAGTATCCTTTGCACAACTATAGACTCTTCTCATTATGAAACTATGAAACAGACAGAGTTGTTATATAGAATTAATGGCACGCAGCAGTAGCCAGGAGACAACAATGACTCGAAGGTACAGCAAAACAACAACAAAAAACAATAACAACAAAAAAACCAAGGAGCATGAAGTCCACAAGTCATAAAAGGACCATGTTTGAAGACTCTTGTCCTAAATCTTATCTATTTTCAAAAAGGAGACTTCAAGGAAAACACCAGTGAAACCAAAGTTTAAGTCTATTAGCAGTAAGTTCCTTTAGCAATCTATTGAACAAACTCCTTTAGAAATATTGGCCCATCTTCTTTCTTATCTCTATCTCTCCCCTTTTTTTACTCTGACCACAACTGTAAATCTTATTTGATAGAATGAGATGCCTTCTTTATCCCACTTATTGAATGAAACAGACAGAGTAAAAGGCAGTTTAAGAAGAGCAAGAGATCCGAGCCACAGAGAAAGCTGGATTCAATTAAAAGAGGGCATACTTTGTCTTCACCCTTATATGAAATCCCGATCCCTCCCCCCCCCCAGTTAATAAAGAGAAACAGTTGTTAAAGGAACTAAAAAATGATTGTGACATGAGACAAATGTGCTTTGTTTTCCTCCTTTTAATTTATTTCCTGAAGTCCACAGGATCAGAGAAGTCCCCAGATGATTAACAATCTTGATTCTATCAAAAATGAATACCTTTCTGTAAAGTTATTCCAGATATCTTTTAGGAGTTATTTCAGCACCACAGTTGTCTTCTTCATTGACAAGAAAACAACTTTTAATGCAATTCATGCAAGTTGAATAGTGCTGGTTGGACTAAAGATCAATCTACTCACATTCCTCATCCTCTACAGGGCCCAGAATAGGACCAGAAGAAGAATATGGGGCTTTTGTTTTCCAGGGACCACTATTCAGAAACATGGTTCCTTTGATTCTGGAAGTGTCATAACCATTAGGATTACCTGCCACTGGCTTTTTTGTCCTTGATTAATTTATCTAATTCTTGTTGTAAATCACCTGAGTTGGTGGTCATCACCACATTTTGTATTAACTGGAAGAAATCCAGTTGGGGTTCAGATCAATGTATATTGATCTTTTGAAAGCTTTCGGTGAAGATTACAGCAGCTGATCTATACTACATATTTCTATAGATACTATACAAGTATATCATGTATAAAATAGTTTTACGATTTTCTGTTTATTTGATCACTTTCTTTCCTGCATTGTAAGTTTGGGTTTCCCAGTTAAATTTATTTTTATTAACTATTGCTTTGGCATTCTTTGAATAGTTGGAGAGGTTTGTTTTAAAGTGGAGGGATGTATGTTAGTGAATGATGCTATGATATTTGTTATTTTTATGGTTCTTGACCATTTTGATTAGATTTTGAAGAAACACAAATTAAAATCTGAGTAAAAAACAACATACAATGCATGCAGTCCTTGACAGGTAGGAATTAACTTTTTCTGTGACAGTTTTCCTAAACCAGCAAGGCCCAGGTTGTATCACATGTATAGGATCTCTGCAAGGTCTGTGAAATCTCCTTCCATTACCACCCAAGGAGTTCAGAAAGACTCAATCTGGATAGCGCTGGCATTGTTCCATTAAATACTGACACAAATATTCCTAAGTATTTGTTACTTGAAGTTGTCATAGTGGTATATATGAGCATAAAGATGAAAAAGGAAATAAAGCAAATTACCTGAAAAGATTATAAGGTCATATGGTGCAGTAATATTAATAAAAAGATAACCAGGCAGTGTAAGAAATTGATTGTTTGATAGATTGATTGAATGAATACTTTATTTGGCCAAATATGATTAGAAACACAAAAAATTTGTCTTCAGTGCAGAGGCTCTTGGTGTACATGCAAAGGAACAGAATTATCATCATCATCCCAATAAGGGGGGGAAGTAAAGAAGATAATAAGAAGGATAATAATAATACAACAGCCATACTGCAAATTATTTGAACACAGCCTATTTTGAAGCATGAAGCCCAGCTAGGAGGTCTCATCCAGTGCTGGAATAATTCTGAACTTTGACATTCTTTAAACTTATCATTTTCTCCTCACTTTCCAATCTTTTTTTCACACCTTCTTTCCTTTTCTTTTCATTTTACATGTTTCATATTGTCTAAATGAAAGTACAAGTTAAGGTTTTAAGCTTGGGAGCAGGTACTTGACATTTTCTCCAGCCATGCGGGATTCACTTGACTGGAGTCTCTTTCTGGTTATTTGAAATTATATTATATTCAATATTAAATTATATTCACCATTTTATATATCGGACTGCTTTTTAATGAGGAATGGGTGATTGCTTTTTTAATTAATGTTTATTTTTGCTGCACTTCATCCAGAATCACATTGTTTGAGTTGGGCAGCTATATACATACTGAAAATAAATATATAAATGAAATATTAAAATGAATATATTTATTTATTTTATGTGATTTTTGTTTTGTATTTTACCACCTTGGGTTCCATCTAACATCTTCTCAAAGTAATGCTATGTATTTCACAATCTTTTGGCTGCTCTATATTACAACCATCTTGTTTCCTTTTAACAAAAGGTGAATACTCTTAGAGTTATTAATTGTCTTTAATGATATGTAGAGTGGTTAAGGCTTTTCCTTTAAACAACTCAATAGAAGACTATTCATTTTCACCTTTTTTTTAATCATGAGAAGGGGCAAAACCTAGACATCTCACTTTCTATGACCCATTTCAACAGGACTTGGCAAACCCAGATAGCAAGCTTCATTTAACATGCTGTAAGCTTCTGCTAATGTTGTCCATGGGGTCGCAATGGGTCGGACACGACTTCGCAATTAACAACAAAGCTTCTGCTATTGACAATCTAACTAGAAACTAATGACTGATCCTCACTTTTTTACCTTGCAGTTGTCCAGCATATCAAGCGCCACAATATTGTCCTTAAGAGGGAGCTGGGAGAAGGAGCCTTTGGCAAAGTCTTCTTGGCTGAATGTTATAACCTATATCCTGAACAGGATAAGATCTTGGTTGCTGTGAAGGTAAAATAAAAAAATCCTATAGACTTTTGTTAGGCACCAGTCAGTTCTGTTTCTCCAGAATAAACTATTTCTTTCTGAGAATATTATTTTCTTTAGCCTCCCGTTATTGCTTAAATTGATCCACAAAGGCATTTGGGTTTCAACAGAAATACTTACTCCTTTGTCTATGTATTTACAAAGTTATATTAATTGCTGTTGTTTTAAGGCAGAGACCTATAATCCAAAGTCCCAGAGTTATACATAACTGCACCATTTTGGATACTGGTGCCCCACAAGTTTCACTAAGAACTGCTAGTAACTGTAATGTTTATTGCAATGAAGCAAAAAACTATTAGATATATAAAGAGGCATCTTGCTACCTGTGTTGAATAAATTCAATGCAATGTTAATGATGCATACAAAGAAATGCAATCTGGTTGAAGTTTTTATCCTGGCCCTACTCAGTGGGAGATTATGGCCCCTCCAGAACACCCTACAGGGGAAAGGTGAAGCCTTAAACAGAAAATGTTCTGGACCCCTGTGGCAAATTTTGATGAGCTTTGCAATGAATCCCATTGCATTGCATCTACAGATAGTCCTTGACTCAGGACCACAATAGGGACCATGACTTCTGTCACTTAGTGATGCAATTTTTAAGTGAATTGCACTCACTTTTACAACCTTTTTTGCTGAGTCCTTAAGTGAATCATGTGGTCATTAAGCAACCACATTGCTTGTTGGAAACCCCTTGGGAAGGATGATCATGTGATGTAGCAATCATCATAAATATATGCTGGTTCCCAAGTGCCCAAATTTTGATCATGTGACAGGGAGAATGTTGCGATAATCATAAATATGAGAACCTGTCGTAAGTCACTTTTTTCAGCACCTTTGTAACTTTGAACAATTGTTAAACAAATGGGATAGGCAACAATGTCTCTTTTATAATCTGTGGATTTCAATTCCCAGAATTCTGGAGCCAATCATGCTGGCTCAGGATTTCTGGGAGTTGAAGTCTATAGGTTGTAAAGGGGCCATAATTGCCTACCCCTGGTTTTCTCTGTCAGAAGAATACGAGCATTGTACAGCCCCATACCTTATTCTCTTCTTCAACTCCTTTCATACATTTAACAAATATACACAAGATAAGTCACTTTTTGACAGATCTGGGGATTTGACTTCAAAGCTAAGCATTAGCTTTCATTTGGGTTTACTTTGTTTTTCAAACTCCGTGGTTGTCTCTGTGATTAAGAGATGAAATGGACAAGCACAATTCATGCAAGAAGAAATCCAGAAACACAACAATAATAAGGACACATTCTGGAGATTGGTGAGGCAAATTCCAAAACAGGTGCAGAGCTGAGTTGCACTGACCACCAGCTTTGCAAAATGGTTTCTATTTTCTCCAGTTGAGATGGAGTACTTTGTGATCAATATGTCCATGTCAGAAAAAATGTAGATTGAGGAGCAACAGAACAAGTTGCCCCATATCTTTGTTAACGTTCAAGTATTGTCACATTTTGTTTTCATTCATTGGATCTTTGACATGGCTCTTCACTGGTTGCTGAATAACCCAGAACAGCATTGTGTACTGTATGCATGTGAAGAAATAGCTACTGTTGTGCCTTGTGGGAAGTCTAAAGCTGAAAATGAAGGGTTTGGCAAGAAAAGGGGAAAGCGAAAAAATTCAGCAGATATTCTGATCTTGTAACCATAAATAATTTGAAAAGAGTAGGTTTTCCGAGATCTTATATAGAAACAGGGTAAATAAATTTATACATGTTCACACATAGAAAAGAAAAACACAGCTAGCCTTTTTGAAAGGAGAAGGTGCTGTTCAAAAGGTAACTGGATTTTCTTGATTCATCCAAGAAGCTTCTTCAGTTCTGAAATAAAGAAGCTTCTTGAATGAGAAGTGAAACATTTTCAAGGAAAATATCAAGAAAGCCTAGTTGCCTTTTAAATAGCACCTTTGGGATAACCATGACTGGATGACTGAGAATCTCTATAGAGAAGGAGAAGAAGAAAGAGGGGGGCAATGGGTTTATTTTTACTTTCAGTTTGTTTGTAGAGAGTTTGATGTGTAGGCTTCTACTTTCCAGTCAGCTCCTGTGCAAGATTTAAGTGAGATTTAAATGGCATGCTGGCTTTCTGTAAGTCCTCTAAAACCATTGGGATGAGAGGGTGAGCTGAGTGGAAATAGCCTTTTTCTATCTTGTTTGAAAGTTGACTTGTGTTACATTACTTTTATCCAGAAGTGCAGAAATCTTATTCTAAGAAGCCACACTGGCAACAGGCTAAATTACAGACTTCTGTAAAGATGGACAAAATTGACTATTTTGTTTGATATAAAATTAGTATTTTTTTTATAGCCACCAAATTTTCTATCCTGATTTGGCATCTGTTTGCAGTATGCATTTTTATGCATTTTTGCTCTTAATATGTGCATTTCTTTGCAAGCAATTTCCCCTAATATAGGTATTTTCATATGCCACTTTCTATGCTATTTTTAGATACTTTTATTGGTCAAAGTACTATACTGCAAAAGATAAAAGATAACTGTGTTGGCATTCTAATTTGTCCATTATCAATTGTGGGGGCACAAATTAATTCAAATTGTATCAAAGTCTAGAACTGACTAATTTCTTCTCTAATTCTAGTCATTAATACACATTGCTCTCTACTTTGCCTGATTTCTGAAGGGTTTTCATGTTTTCATTTTGAAAACATTCAAGTCACTAACATTAGGATTTTGTTATTTAAAATTAAATCAAGGTAATTGTATGTCTTCAAATGAAAAATTATGTTTATCTTTTTTATGGTGCTAGGAGAGATAAGGATAAGTATTCACAATACTAGGGATCATTTTCAGTATATAAAAGCAATTTTATCTGGAACACATCTACAACTATAACTTGGTTATTTCTATACGATTATCTCTTATTTTGCAATATTGCAAAGCTTAGGATAAGCTCTGAGCCTTTCTATTTTATCATAATATTTCCAAAAACCTTACAATGTTATTTTGAACTCATAAGGAACTATAGTAATGTGGGGAAAATTGCCCAAAATATAGTTTTCTCCTAAACAGATTTTACTCCAATTTTGAATTCATTCTTCCTTTTCCTGGCTTCTGCCACTTATAGAATTTGGTCCAGTTCTGTTCAGTGTTTAGGGAGTTATCCTGCAGATTGACCAACAGATAAATGAACATTTACAGTTCAGGATTATTTTAGGTAAGTTGATTGAGAAACATTTTAAGAAGGTAGTAAAGATATTTACTATCTTTTCTAAGGAGTGCCAGTTTGGTCTAGTGCAGTGGTTCTCAACCTTTGGGGTCGAATGACCATTTCACGGGGATCACCAAACAACGCAGTCCGCCATTTTCCCCCCCTTTTCCTTAGCTGTGCTACTCCCTTTTATTCTATTGGCTTTTGAAAGCCAATAGAATAGACTCTCTTGAATAGAGTCTAATTCTATTGGCTTTCAAAAGCCAATAGGAATTGTCCAGGCTGTCTCTGCCCTGCTGAGCCCGCCCAAAGTCCCATTCTGCAAACGGTGCTGTACCAGTTGAGTAGTCCTCGACTTACAACCGGTTGAGTAATCCTCGACTTATGACCGGTTGGGGTTGCGGCATTAAAAAGGTTGAGAACCACTGGTCTAGTGGTTAAGGGACCATGGTAGAGAGCAGACTATGAGCAAGTCCTGCCTTAGTCATGAAAGCCAGCTAGGTAACCTTGGGCCAGTCACTCTCTCTCAGCTCAACCCACCTCACAGAGTTGTAGTAGAGAAAAGGAGGAGAAAGCAGTATTAAGTATTTCCACCACCTTGAGTTATTTATAAAAATTATATAGTTGTGAAACAAACAAATAAATAAATAAACTGTTGAAAATGGATGAGGAAAATAAAATGTTCTTCCAGATATAGCAGTGATCCCGACAAAGAAATCTACCTATTTTATTTCAAGAAAAGTAAACATTCATCTGAGGAAAAGCTTTATGACAACTCTACTGTTGTCTGTATTTAGAACATGTACATGGAAGCTGTCCTCAGAGTTTCTAATAAATTCATGGAGATAGCAGGAAGGGATGGCCACTGAAAGTTAACCCTGTGAAAGACATCTGGAAAGTGCTGAGGTCTCAGAGGCATGGAGAGGGCAAGGAGGAAAAAAAAAATATTAAGCAAGTTTCTAGTCTTATGAGAACTGCACTGAGGACCCCAACATTAGAGGATGTCATAAAAATGTTCCCACAAGAGTAATTCTCAGACAAAAGGAACCTATCTGGATTAAGAGAACTTGTTCATTTGGCTGTTTCACAAGGCAGTGTATTGTTACCACAGCAACCGTTCCATCATAGAACTCAGCAGCTTCTTATAGATCAAAAGCAAAAGCTCATTGGGCTCCTTAGGGGTTCCATAGCAAGGGCTTAATAGCACTATAGATGCAACATGTTCTACCAAATGAAGTTTTACGGTTATCGCTGTAACACTCCTGGGAGAGATAAGGGCGGGTATATTCAGGCTGCTAGTGCTGTCTTTCTGCATAAATACCATTTTGCCTGTATGTAGATACGGTTATGACATTAGTTCCTCAGAAATGTATCTCCATCTTTATGGTATTACAAAGTTCAGCAAAAGCTCCTTGACATTTTACTGCAGTATTTCCAAAAAATATCACAATATTATTTTGAGTTCATCAGGAACAACAGTAATGTGGGGAGATGTAACCCAAGACAAAAATGAAGGATTTTGGGGTTTTTTTAGCTCAGTCTTCTGGGCTGGCTTCAATAACAAATATGACCTCATTCAGTAAAGGTAGTCTTCCACTTACAAACATATTTGAGCCCAAAATTTCCGTTGTAAAGTGAGACATTAGTTAAGTGATTTTTGCCTGATTTTACAACCTTTCTTGCCGCAATTGTTAAGTGAATCACTGCCGTTGATAAATTAGTATCCTGGTTGTTAAATGAATCTGGCTTTCCCACTGACTTTGCTTGTCAGAAGGTCGCAAAAGTTCATCACATGACTTGGGACACAACACTGGTCATAAATATGAACTAGTTGCCAAGCATCTGAATTTCGATCTCATGATCCTGGGAATGCCACAAAAGTCATAACTGTGAAAAACAGTCATAAATCACTTTTTTCAGTGCTGTTGTAACTTTGAATGGTCACTAAATGAGATAAGTCAAGGATTATCTATACAGGTTTGAGATAGTTGCCTTGATGATGGACAGACAGATGAAGGGACAGAGTGCCAAGCATTGACATAATTGCTTCCCAATGTTCCAAAATTGGGTTGGAAAAAAAAGTTGGATCAGAAATGTGGATATTAGAGTCACTGAGTTCAGAGTTGAGAATCCCAAGAACAGAACAGAATAGAATATTTCATTGGCGAAGTGTGATAAGACACACAAGGAATTTGTCTCCGGTGAAGAAGCTACCAGTAGTATCAGTAACTATGATATAGTTACACCAAAGCACCTTAACTTTTTAAGCTAACTCCTTCCAATTTCATGATTTGCCCCCCAAGACTAACAAGTTACAGAAGTTGTTAAGCATCTGGAGATAAGTACCTTTCTTTCAGCTTTTGATTCTTTCTTTGTAGACTCTGAAAGATGCCAGTGACAATGCCCGCAAAGACTTCCATCGAGAAGCAGAACTACTGACTAATCTACAGCATGAACATATTGTCAAGTTTTATGGAGTGTGTGTGGAGGGAGATCCTCTTATCATGGTCTTTGAATACATGAAACATGGAGATCTCAATAAATTCCTCAGGTAAATTAAGAAATGTTTGTGGTACGTTTTTATTTATTATTTTTCCACATTCTACGTTCAGATCTGAATTCCCTTGAACTCCCCTGACGTTTCACTATTAATTTAGAGATTTGGAGAGTCAAAAACGTGCATGCAGTGTTCCTGTTAATATCTATATTTTTTCCTCCAAGCATTTTATATGCAGGGCTAGGAAACTTTGGCTCTCTAGATACTGTTGTAGTTCCCAGAAGCTACAGCTAACAAGGACAGCTGGTATTCTCAGAGTTGCAGTTCACCAGTATTTGAAGGGATATATCTCTGATATAAGAGGGGGAAAACCAAGGTGTGGAAAAAATGAAGGAACCACAATGCTTTCAGCTTGGTTTTTTGCAATTAAAATAAAAACAGTACATCATTTTACTAAGGTTCTCCAGTCATGAGACATTGAAATATATAGGTAGTCCTCAACCTGTGACTACAATTGAGCCCAAAATTTCTGTTGTTAAGTGAGAAATTTGTTAAGTGATTTTTGCCCCATTTTACGACTTTTCTCACCACATTTGTTAAGTGAATCACTGCAATTCTTAAATTAGCAACACGGTTGTTAAGTGAATCTGGTTTCTCCATTGACTTTGCTTGTCAGAAGGTTGCAAAAAGGGATCACATGACTCCAGGACATTGTAACCATCATAAATGTGAGTTAATTGTCAAGCATCTGAATGTGAATGTAAATTATGTGACCACTTATGACCATGCAGTGGTCATGCAATGGTCCTAAGTGTGAAAAATAGTCATATATCACTTTTTTCGGTGCCATTGTAATTTCGAATGGTCACTAAATGAACTGTTGTAAGTTGAGGACTACCTGTATAATAGAACTAGCGGTATCTGGTTGGCCTTATTTGGGCGCAGAAGCTCAGAAGTGTTGTGACTGACAATGAGAAGGTATAGCTCCAAGGAATATTGGGGATATAGAGCAACTAGATACTGAAAAATATATGTTGAAGAAGACAATGGCAAACAATGCTCATATTGCTGCTAAATAAGTTGCAAGGTTGGGTGCAGCATGAAGTTCATCTGAAAGGAGAGCTTCCTTGTTTTCTTACTAACACTTAGTAGTTTTTGCTAATTCTCCATCCCAGGTATATCAAACAATCTGTGAGATATGAGAGGCATAGTCTCAAAACTCAAATCTGACAGTTGTTCACATTGGAAAATGCATTTCTTTTTCAGAATCCCACTCTCCTGAAAATGCACAACACATTTCAAAGTTTGGCCTTAAAGAAAAATCCCTGAAGCTATTCATCTTGAATTTGGCAGCTCTGATCCACTTAAAAGGGGCAACTATGCTCTCACGTTTCATCTAATTTTGTCCAAGTTCCTTTCTGAAACTTGGTAGACTTCTCGCTCTTGTAATATTCTGCCATACATACGCATTCAATAGACCTGTAAAAAAATAGATCTGTAAAAAAAAAAAAGTAAACTATTATAGTCATGTGTCAATTCTCCGTGAAAGTCAGTGAGTGTGCAAAGATTCATATTTCCAACTCTTTAATTTGCATTTGGCCCTGCAGTCAATCCGGATAGCTTTCCAACGGGTCTAAGATGAAACTGGTCTATTTTCCAAATTGCTGAGTTGTGGTCCAAATGGAATAATTTGATTGGTACGCATTCCTGCATAAGAATAGTCCTGCTGGATCAGGCCAAAAACCCATCCTTTAGTCCAGCATTTTGTTTCTCATAGTGGCCTTCCAGATGTCCCTATGCCACGTAGTAATGAATTCCACAGGCTAATTATGCTTTATATGGAGAAATGCTTCCTATTGTCTGTTTTAAATCATCCAATAAGCTTTATTGCATGGCCTTGGTCTTAATGTTTAAGAGCCAAAGAAAAAAAACCCTCCCACCTACTTTCTCCAGCCTGTGCATGCATGATTTTATATGCCTTAGTCATGTTCTCACTCAATTGTCTTTTTTATCAAGCTCTGTCCCATAAATGGGGATTACAATGCTAGCATGTTTTTATTTTATTTTTAGTCCCTTTCCCAATGATCTTTTGCTGCAGTTTTCACAGTTGCCACACCACTTATTTTAGTGTTGTTCTATGACCCCAACATCTTTGTCAGTTAGTTACAATGCTCAGACCACATCAAATTCTATATGAGGAAGGCTTGTATATGTGTTACCTCATAGCTACTTAAATTGGACTACATTTGTGATTTGGTTGATCATTGATCCAATTTAAAGACATAATTCCAGTGTTCTTTAGTGTTATTTTTGTTGTTTATCAGCCCAAAAATTTTATTATCATCCCCATACTTGGGCAATTTCTGAATAAGCTGAATAGATTCCCAATAAAGGTCTTTGAGAGCTTCTACTTCGTACTTCCCTCCACTGAGATAATTGCTGCTTTATTTCCACTCTCTCCTTTCTGTTCTTTCTAACCTGTTACCAATTTATAAAGAGACCTGGCTTCTTATCCCATGGATGCTAGGTTTACTAAAGGCCCTTTGATGAGTAACTTTAAAAAAACATCTAAGAATGACAGACATTTTGACTTTTTTGTCATCCAGTGCCTCAGTTGCTTTGAATGTCTTTTCTGCTTCTAATATATATATATAAAGGAGTTTTTACTATTCTCTTTTTGTTTTTTTCCATATACATGTTCTGCCCCCCTCCCCTGCATTATCTAGCAAAGTTTATTCTCCTTTTTGTACTCCTAATTATGATGGGAGGGGGCACAATGGCTCAGCGGTTAAAGATGCTGAACTTGTCTGCTAGAGAGCTGACAACCTGGGTTCAAGATTCGAGTGCATGACGGGTGACCACCCGTTACTTGTCCCAGCTCCTGCAAGCCCAGAAGTTTGAAACCATGCAAATGCAAGTAGATAAATAGGTACCATTTTTGTGGGAAGGTAACAGTGTTCTGTGCACCTCAGTGTATAATCATGTTGGCCACAAGAACATGGAAGTGTCTTCAGACAATGCTGGCTCCCTTGGCTAAGAAATGAAGATGAGAACCGTACCCTAGAGATTGACATGACCGGGCAGAGAACCTTTACCTTAAATTATGACAGACTTTTCATTCATTATCTCTTACAGTTACCTGGACACTATTCCAAAGCCATGCTGGCCTCATGGGTTGGTGATCTTTTTTACATGGTTAATGTACCTAGTTGAGCTTCAGTTAATAAGGCTTTAAATAATTTCTCTTTGGCCCTCTGTTTTTCATCCATCCCTTCATTCTGATAAATATCTCCTTCTGTACTCAAATGTGTTGGACCCCACAGGCAGTTCCTCAACTGAGTGCATACTAAATATAATAATATTATAGTCAGTGTCCCTATAGATTCTGCAGTAGTTACCATTTTACACAAGATCACAGTCATACTTTAGGATTAAGTCTAGGGTTGCCTCCCTTCGGCTGGTTTTATGCCCAGTTGTGCTAAGGCTAATCACTTAATCACTGGTTTCTTTTTCACAGCTTAATCTCTGTCTATGTCAGAGTAATAGACGTCTTCAATTATTTTAAGAACATGTATTTTTCTATACAAATATTGCATATTTCTAATCTACATTTGGGGCCAGGTATCACTTCCCATTGTGATTCTCTGGAGGAATCTGGTCTTCTGTGTTGTCTATATCTTATGTTCTCTGAACTGTTTTATCTTGCTTTCTACTAACAGCATTCTGAAAAGCATTATGATAAAAATTAGACATATACCTGTGATTAAAAATGAATGGTAGTTAGGTTATGTCAAAATAAAATATCTATTCATATATTCATTAACCGTGATTCAAATATGTGAATAGTATGTATCATTACCTGAAAACAGTATTATAACTCAGGTTTCATGATTGACATATTTAAATCTGTCAATAAAGCATTTTCTACTAGCCATAATCTGTAATTCTCTTCTACAAAGCTTTTATTTTCTATAGCAAAAAACATCTGAAAAATATTGATTATTTGTATAAATAAACAATATGTTTATGATATAAATATATCCTAATTTAAATTGAGTAAAGAATAGACTATGTACCACTTTTATAGTGCATATACCAACACATTGTACTTCATTTCATAAACAAAAATCTTTCAAACCAAGTACTCTGAATTTTGCTTCTGGGAAAATCCAGACTCACATTAAAAATGGCTTTGCCTACTTACACACATTAAAAGTCTTAAAGACTAGTACATTTATTATAGAATTAGAAGTTTGAATCAATGCTATTGCATCAAATGCCGAAATGCATTCTTTATTAAAATGAACACCTTTTGTTTATTAATGCAAGTACAGCATTCCCCTGAGAAAAGATAAAATATTTCAAATAAGGAGAAACAAACAAATAAAACTGTCTAGTCTTGTTCTGAAAGAAGAATGCCTCCATAAAGAAACGGCAAAGTGAAATGATAGATGTATCATCATCATTGTATATATAAAGTCCATGTTCAAGACTAGGTGTTCCTAATTAGGTGAAGCAGTTTTGTTTTAATAACCCAAAGAATTGCTGCTGAGCATTGGTATAGCTGTATTAGTAGTCATAGTATGATTTATTTGTATTGGGCTAATATGTTCTATAAACAGTGTGATTTGCAAGCGATTGTTGTCCCCAATTCGGATCTGAGCCTGGTGCCAAAGCTGATGAAGAACACCAGACACAAGGTGCAGGTTTTGTTTCCTTTTATTGATGCTCTTGAAGAAAAGGGGTCCTGGCCAAAATGCCAAGGAACCCTGAACAATAGAATTAAGAAAACTTTATACAATTTCACTAAAGCGTAAGGTGGGATAAGGTGAGATATATAAGGAATGTCATCTAATAAAGATTTTAGTGAAGATCTAACAGTTGTTCTATTGGTTTCTAGCTGTCCATATTCCTAAGCCTTAGCTAATGAATGCTTCAGGAGTTATCTAATACAGAGGTCTCCAACCTTTCTTGGTTGGCAGACCAGAGGGAAAAGGGAGAGGGAAGCGTTTTATGCACGTGCGTACACACACAAACAGGGTCATGAGCATGTG